TTTTCTTTTTTAAAATTTTTTAATTCTTTTTTTTTTTTAGCTGTCAGCCTTACTGGAGAAAGTCTTTTTCTTTTTCAAAGCATTTTTAGTACATAATGTGTCTTTTTGGTATTTTATGAATAAGAAATAAAGTCCATAGCATTTTCCTCCCCCCCAAAAAGAAAACCCAAAAAAACTTACTCCTCTGAGGGTCATCGGTCTTAACTGCCTCAGACACATAGTTTTACAAATGCTTCATCCCAAATTACAAATTTCATTTGTGGAATTCACTGGCAAACACTTGTGCTTCTGAGAATTGCCAGCTTCTACATTCAGAGTAGAAATCATAATAGATTATGACAGAATGACCTTATACCAGGGGCGGGGATACTTTGGTTCTATTTCTGGCTTTGATATTTTCCCTTAATAGTAGTTCAGTAAAACAATATTTTGTTATGCCATGAACAAAGCTAAAACTTACCTTTGGAAGATATAGTTTCCATCTTTAAAAATGTCTTGCCTACATTGCGACACTAAGAGTACAAGGTAATTTTGTCGTTGTTATTAATATAGCTATAGTAATTTCTGAGGCTATTTCAAAGGATACTCTTAAGAAGTTAGATTATAGGAAATCCATACACTTATTGGCAATACTCTAAGGAGGAAAATATCTGCCTTGGAAAGGTAGAAGTACTCTTACCTCTTGCTGATCCATGATATTTGGGAAAAAGAAAACTGTCATATCAACCATGAAACCTGTAGGGAGTTCCAATCTCCATTCAGTCACAATGACCCCCAAACCTACTGTTTCACCAGATCTCTCACTGGAGCTGTTAATGTGTAGCCACGTGATTTAAGTTTGGGTCCTTTTCCTTTCTCTTGCCCTCCCTCTGGTGGAGGTGTTAATGAGTGAACTGCCCAAGATGGGCAGCTAAAGAGAACTCCACCAGCTTGCATCTTCCTCAATTACACCATTAGCTTTTGAAATGGAGAATGGCAGGCTGATGGCCTCCGCTTTCCAGATGCCTAGAGGGCGCCACACCCACCTTGGTCTACTTAGAATGCATGGGAAGGAGAGCGCACACATTTACTAAAATATCGTTCATGGCTTCAGAGAGGAATACATCTTAATTTTTAGCTGGGTTAATATGTTCCTAATCAGTATCAATAAAATGTTATAAAGAGTAGGGTTCCTGTTGGGGAAATAGAACAAACTCTTGCTCTGTGATAATATTTTAATCGAAATAATGTTTTTACATTTTTAAAACTTCTTGACATCTATTATCTCATTTGATGCTCTCAACAGCCCAGGACAATAGGGAAGGTGCTGTCATACTCAGAGACTCCAGTAGAGGACCAGGACCCAGATTTTTTGAACCTTAGTTCCTTGCTCTTTGCGCTTCTCCATTCAGGTAGCCTAATACACTTCAGATATCTATGACAGTAACTTACCACGATGGGTTTTTAAAAACATTCCCAAATTTTGGAATATCCTAATTATACTTGGCCCAGAGGTAGAATTCATTTGGTATTCACAGATCACAATAATTAGCACACAGTAAGTTAAGTGTTAATTGTTAATATTATTGTTATTATTAAAAACCCATCTTATAGTTTGAATATCACAAGAAAAACAAACCAACCAACCCATCTTAGAGGTAGTATAATGTTGTGGATAGAAGAATGGACTCTGGAGCCAGACCTCTGGGCTTTAATCCTGGCTCTATCACATACCCGTCTCATTAAGTCATGTGCAGAGCTTTTAGAGGAATACTTAGCAGAGGGTGGTTGCTTGATAGCCCTAGTACTTAGACACACAAGCAGTAATTTGCCCCAATTTACAGGGTAAATAATGGAGCTCGATTGTAATCTTGATCCTTACGTTTTATTATCTCTTATAGAAAGGTTGCCTCTCTACGTTATGTTATTTTCCTGTGATTCCTAAAGTATGTTTTTTCTTTTCATGTCTTCTTTCACTGCCAATGTTTTACTCTCCTTTACTAAACTGAAACCCTTTTTCCAAAATTAATGTTTATGAAAATTTCTAGTACAAAACGTTTAGCCCCTCAGTTGTTAGGTACACAGTTTATGCCATGCATGCACATTTGCATTTGTAAGGAGCTGCTTTGTGCTTTAAATCGTTTTTTTCTTTCTGGACATATTCTATGAGCCCACTAGCGGTAAGCTCCTTGGAACTCTGCATTTCTGTTCGGTTCCTGTTAATTACTCAACAGTATCCAGAAGTGGATACTGCTATCGCCCAGTGGGCTATTCAGTAAATTACCAATTGACTGGCAGGCCCTCCCTGTATTTTCTTCATTTTCTTCTATTTTTTTCTTGGTTATTTGGCTGACTAGTTTGGTCACGGTCTGTCATGAACATGCAAATGTCGTGTCCACATAAAAATGATCTAGCCAATGTCTTTCCACTAATTGAGGACTGAGGATTTAGTTGTCCATTGGCACCTTCCACCCTAGGGAAGATCTGAAAACTAAGGGACAGGTACAAGCCCCAGGGAGTGTTTTCTGTTTTCCCCCTTATCTAGGAACAGGATCCTAGGCGGTGGGCGGGAAGCGGGGCAGAGGGGTGTCTCTAAGTCTTCGGGGGAAATGTAGTAAGAAAGAAGGAAAAGGTAGGCAGATCCCACAGCCACTTGGTTTTGTTCCTCTTTTTTTCCCTCAGGACGGTGGTGGCAGCTGATCAGACACAATAGCTGGCAGCTCCCCGCCGAAGTGAGGATAAAAATGACCCTCAACAGCACCAGCAGGAGGTCTGGGAAAAGGGGGAGGGGTGTGCATGGGAGGGGACGCGGATGAGGGTGACAAGGTGACAAACGCCGCCGCCGCCGGCAAGCTCCACTCCCCTTCGGCCCGACAGGGCACGGAGCCGGTGAGCCACCTCCCCGCAGCGGGGGCGGGGTGGGAAGCGGCGGCCGAGGGGCGGCGGCCTTCCTCCAGGGGGCGGGGCAAAGGGTGGAGGGAAGCCTGAGTCAGCAGCCCCTGATTGGTTCTCGTCCTCCCGTCGCGTCTTCCGATTGGGCGATTTGCAGCGGGAGATGTTGTGGGGCACGGCGGGGCGGGGCGAGCCGCCGGGGTCTGTGACCAGGCCCCGGAGCGGGGTGGGGAGGGGCGGCGGTCGTGCTCCGGGGCTGGAGTCGCCGTGACCTGGAGCCTGAGGAGAAGCGCGGCGGCCTCCCCTCAGCTCCGCTAGCCGCGCCGCGTTCGCCCGGCTGCTCTGCAGATTTTAAAAAAAGGAACGGGATTGAATGAACAGCGCTTCGCCAACTCTCCCGCTCCCGCCGCGGGAAGATACCTTGCAGTCGGGCGTGAGAGGACACTCCCTTATCTGGAAGTCCCAAGTCTCGCCGCCGCTTCGTGCCCTCCCCGCTGCAAAAAAATATAAATAAATAAAAGGTGGGGGGCACAGTTCACCAGGCCAAGTCCCCCGCAGTCTGGGACCTTTGACCCCCATCCTGCAGGTCTCGCTCACGGTCGTGCCCCCTGTCGGCCCCCGACGCCGAACGCCGTCTCCTCCCCGGGACAGCCCTTCCTGGCCGCTCCCGCGCGCCGCGCCGTGGGGTGTGCCCGGTTTGGGGTGCCGGGGCGACGGCTGGAGGTCCCGAGACGCTGGGAGAGGGCTGGCGAGCACCCCACCCCGCCCCCGGCTAATCCCCCTTCTCCAGCGTCGGTTCCCGGGACCGTATTATTCAAGACAGAAAATATTCAGCCCCAGAGCCTCCCCTGGGGAGGGAGGGGAAGGAGGTGGAGTGGGAGGAGGTGGATCCAGGGAGGAAGAAGCGAGAAATCCGCCCCCGGGAAGCAGCTCCGCGCGGCAGCGGAGCGCGGCGCTTCTGTCACTTGGCGATCGCGGGCGCCGGAGCGGGGCCCCGGCCCGGCCCGGCGAGGCGAGGGAGAGTCGGCGGCCGCCGCCCCGCCCCACGCCCTCCCGCTGCGGCCGAGAGCCGGGGCCGCGGGCAGGTCGCGCGGTGCCTGGGAGCGGCCGGCCGGGGGCAGCGGCCTCGGAGCCGGCGGCGGGCAGCGCCGGAGCGTCCTCCCGCTGGGTCCGGCCGGCGCGGGCGGCGGGCGCGCTGCCCCGGAGCCGCCAGCCCCGTGCGGATCCACTCGCCCCGCTTCCTCCGGTGCGTGTCTGCTTTATTTTCCGCCGTAGCCGGCGGGCGCCGCGCTCGCGGGCCGCGGAGAGCCGGGTTCGCGGCGGGCTCCCTGCTTCCCGCCACCTCAGGCCACCCCGCGCGGCGCTGGCGCGGGGCCGAGGGAGCCCACGGCGGGCGCCCGGCGGGGGCGGAGGGGCCGCGCCCGCGTGTGCGGCGCGGGGAAGGGCGGGCGGGAGGAGGGAAGGGCACAAAGGCCGGCGGCGGGCGCCGGGTCCGGCCGGCCGTGGAGGAGGGGCGCCTCGGGCCGCTCATGAATATTAACCGAGCCTGCGGCCTAGCGCGTCCCGGCCGGGCCCTGCGCCCGGCCCGCGTCCCCGTGCTGCTCGCCGCGGCTCTCGGCGGCCGGGGCCGAGCGCGCGGGAAGGGTAAGCCCCGGTTCCCGTCTCTCCCCGAGGTCTCCCCCACCTTTCCAGAAGGACATATTTGGGCCGCTCTCCCCGGGAGCTCGAGGTCCCCGGCCCGCCTCAGGAAGGGGCGGGGGAAATAGTGGTAGGTGGGTGGTGGTTTTCGTTTTCCTTTTTTTTTTTCTTCCCTAGGTGGCCGCGGGGAAAGGGAAACGGCGGCCAGTTGTAGTGGGGGAAGCAGCCCCGAAATAAAAGTTGCCGGCCTCATTTATGTAGCTCGGGAAGAATGCCCCGGAGCGGGAGCGGGAGCGGCGCCCGCGTCCCACCCGCGGCGGCGCACGCCTCCCCGCCCGGCCCGGCGCTCCCCACCCAGCCCCGCCGCGGGCCAAGGAAAACAGCCGCCGCCTCCTCCGGCGGGCCGGCCGGCGGAGGGGCCGCGGCGCGGGCGCCCCGAGTCACCCGGCCGCCGGGGCAGCCCGCCCGGAGACGCCGCGGAGCCTACGCCGGCCGCGGCCGAGGCTGGCTTTGTGCTTGCTCTTTTGGGGGCTGGAGGGGGGCGAGGAGAGGGCGTTCGGAAAAGTACGATCCCATTTTAGCCCCGTGGGGAGGACGTTTCCCCTCGGGGGACGCGTCTGGGGAGGCGGAGGAGCGCCCACACGCGCCCCGCTCTGCCTGGGAGACCGGGCACCGGAACGCACTTGAACCGGGAATGTTTTTCTCGCGGGCGTGTTTGACGCGACCACCGGGCAGTGTGGAGGTCTCTCATTCTTTTTCCTTCTCGGATGTATAGGCTTTTTCTTGTTTTATTTATTTTTCTGTTATTATTTCTTGTACGGGAGCATTTCATTTGTGTGGTTCGTGGGCACGGCCCGACTGCCCCTTCCGAGTGTGGAAACGCGAACTTGGCGTGTGGGCAAGGCTGTGAGGGCGCCGAGAAAGTTCACGGCCTTTAACTTCTGCTCCTTCTAGGAAGGGTCTCTGGAAGCCACGCTCGAGCCTCGACCCGTCGGATTCCTCCCGGATCGGGAGTGGCGCTGGGAGGAAGGGGACCGTTTCTGCAGTTGGCCCGGACACCAGCTGCCAAGAAGACCTGTCGCCTTTGTTTTTTTGAAGTGTCCAGAAATGGAAGAAGACGGCGAAGTCCGTTGAAGTCCGAAAAACTCACGGGATTTGAAGGGGCTTCCAGAAAGCCTTCATTTCCTGGCACTTCGTCTCCCCAAGCCTGCCCTCCTCGGAGCCTGGTGCGGAATTCTTCCCTTTTTGGTGTTTGGTGGCATTTCCCCCCCAATGTGGACTCCACAGGATTTGTCCCCTCTTTGTAATTTGGAATGAGATGATGGCCACGCGTCGGACTGGTCTGCCTGAGGGAGATGGTGACAAGCTCAAGGCCTTCGAGGTAAGCGCTGGGCGGCATCCCCTGTGGGGCGGTGGCCTGAGGTGGAGCGTCCTGCGAGTGGGGCGACAACTGCCACCGGCCCTCGCCAGGGGCTTCCCGGGCTTCCAGCTGCTTGGTGGGGGCGCCCCAGCTTGACCAGTAGCGAGGTGAAGCCTTGCCCACTTTTGTTTCCAGGGACTCCAGTGATTCTTTTGCAAGAATCCCTCACTCAGGAATGTCCCCATCTTGGTCACCCCTTCCCAGAGAACGGAATTCTCCCAGCTCTGGCGGCTGTGAATACTACAAGCCTGAGAATAGGGCACTTTAGTCCCTTTCCTCCAATATTTTTCGAGTTGAGCTGATTGGAGGTGGCTTTGTGCATTTTCTACAGTGTCTGTCTGTCTCTCCAGGGTTGTTCTCCGGGGTGGATGGAGAGAGGGCAGTTGGTACTATCCTTGCACCTAGAACTATGTCTGTCTTTGACATTGACGGAGAGGTCCTGGCTGCTGTTGCTACAGATCTGTGCTTTGGGTAGAAAAAGAACAGTTAAGGCAGAGCCTTGGAAAACAAAATTTACAGTGTTGTAATTCCAACTCCCTGAAAAATCTGCCTTTACTCTTCTTCTGTTTGTGCCCTTTCTTTCTCTGCTCAGGAGTTGTGTGAGTGCTCCGGGGTGTCAGGTGGCTTGCATTGCTGGTCAGAGTAGCATCTTTCCAAGGACCCATATGAATTTACTCCAGGCTTTCTGAAATTTTTTGAGCAGGCAGGACAGAAATAATAGAAAAATCTATTAACTTATGACGCTTATATATCCTGTTGCCTGTCATATCTTTTCCCCCCTCCTTTTGTGTGGAGATTGGAGTATTTGGAGTTTACTTCCATAATGAACATATTGTGTTGATTGATGGTTTCTGTAATTTGCTTGTTAAACAGACTGAATATTGTTCTCCTTTAAACTTTACTTTTGAGATGCCTATTTTTATTGAAAGGTTGAAGATTATTTTAGACAACACTAACATACCCAAATAAGCCTTCACTGTTTGACTGTTTCTTTTGCACTTCATAAATCGTAGTCCTTGAAACAGTGCCTAGTTCTAAGCATGTGTGTTTTGGCATTTTAATGAAAATGAATCAGAAATTTAATCTTGGTTCATAAAACATGTGGAGAGACTTGCTTCATGCTGTTTACTTCATGTTGGATTAGAAAGTTTATGCAGAAAACGCTGTGAGGTACAGTTGCCATTGCTGTACAATTTATTAGGCAGAACTGTAGGTTGACACTTAGAATCAAGGGTTTACTTCTTGACATCTGTAAACACCTGCTTGCAGGTAAAAGCATGATTAAGTATAACACCACAATCCTCTGATCATGGTAAACCATAATAACTCCTTTTGGAAGGCCTACCTACAACCTGGTGATTGCTTAATGTGTATTGTAGTTACATAATAATATGTACTGTGGCCCTAAAGCCTTATTTGTCATTGTCTTGTGAATACTTTAATTAGCATGCTATTTGCATTATATTTGCAAGAACAAATGTTATTTGATTTTTTTGTTCCCTGTCATTTAAGGGATGCCCTGAAACCAAGAATTTAGACACATCTTGTCCTTGGCTAGAAAGCAGTGCTTCCAGTTGTTGCACACTTGGCTTTTATTAGCAATGACAGTTATATATTTTTTAACGACTGTGAAATTTCCTTTCATTTGGACCTTACTGCTGGCATGGCTGTGTTGTTCTAGTTTGGGAATGAAGGAAACACAATATTGTCTGTATTTTTCTCATTTAAAATGTGTATACAGTACTTGAGTTTGGGATTAACCTACAACATTGTTTGGCTTTTTAAAGAATTGGTAGATATTTTGCTTAGATTTTATGTGGAAATGGAAATAATGGGGGTTTGTGTTGCCAGAAAACATCTTAAAACCTCAGGGTGGGGAGCGAGAAGATCTTGTGTAATTAGTGCTTCTGTTTAGTTGTGACGTGTTTTTATCTGATGCTTCTGATGCACATTAAGTCTTGTGAATATTTTTTGGTAATAGAAAGGGAGTTGCCATGGGAATACTTTGGGTTGGTAGATGTTTAGGCCTTGGAACACTACACTTAATTTTTGAACACTGCAGTTAATTTTTGTCTTCAATTTTATTAGATGTATTACATTCTAGAGTAGTACTGTCATTCTTTAAGCATTTTTAAAAAATCAATATGTTCCTAAATGTGTTTATTTAAAAAAAATTTTTAATTTTTATATTTAAAAAAATGTTTTGGCTTGTGATATTCAAACTACTTAACTGTGTTTAAATAATACATTTGTGTGTTTTTAACAAACCAAAACATGGGCATGTCTATCTTAACAGTAATGCTATTAAATCAGCCCAAAAAACCTAACTTTGTAGGACAGAAGAAATCAATGTAGTAAATTAATAGGAGTCTCTGTTTCTTGTCTTATCTAATTAGCTAACACCACCTGCCATGAATAAGGTCTGTTGCTTTGTTGAAACCAATCAGAGATTGGCTTCATCTTAACTATTACAATCTAATTGTGTTGATGTATGAATACATTTAGGCACTCCCTCCCTCCCTCCCATCCCCCTCCCAAGAATATATTGGAAGACTCAAAACAAATAGCAAACAGTGAGTGCTCTTCAGATAAAGAATTGTGACAATTCAGTAGCATGTATCTTGGCCTTATGCAGTCAGGATGGCCCAGATTGTATTCACACAAATTTGTATACATTATGCATTTTTCAGAATTGGTTTTATTCTGAACTACATAAATGTTTTTTGGAGTGTGCGCCTGTGTATATATGGTCTGTGAAGTATTCTGACACCAATCACAAAAATCACAAAATCACTTTCTATGGACTTTTTGTCTGCATCCTCTGTGATACTATCACCCCCTTTGATATCATGCGTATAGTTTCATCCTTCAAAGATTAACTTGCTGTTTGTTAACCAAGGAAGTGAAAACTTTCCTTGAGCTTTCTAAACCACATGACTTTTTCCATTTCTAACATGGATTTCACTTTCTATCTGTAGTCCATAGTATTATCCAGCAGTCGTCTTTTGAGCACTTCAACAGTTACTAAAATAAACTCACTTGCAATTAACTTATTTAATTTTTATATTTTGCTTCTTCACCTAGGCTAAGATTATTCTAGATGGAAATGTATTATGTCTGATGAAATATATTTGTTGGTTAATTTTGGAATAGTGTAAACAATAAGAGAAGACATTTTTCTGTGTGTGAATGTATATGGATCCATGCTTTGGCTCTTCTTTCTGGAATACTATACACTTTGCTTTTATTCCAGCTTCCCTTGTTCCTTCCCAGACTCTCCCTCCCTCCCTCCCTCCCCCCCCCCCCCTCTCTCTCTCTCTCCCTTTCCATTCTTCTACTTTTCTATTCTCTCCCTTGCTGGGTTTTATTTTGCACTCTCCTGTACATGCAGATGACTCCAGATCTATACTTCTATCTCAGGTTTGGTGGTTTACCTCCTGGCCTGTGTAGCCCCATTGCCCACTTGCTGAACAGTTTGGGGCATAGCCAGACAGGCTTTGCAAACTTAATAAATTTCACCTCTACCACCAGCCTTCCCTCTTCCTGTGCTCCTTCTTTGGGTGAGTAATGCTGCCATCTATTTGTCCGAGTCAAAAACTATGTCTGCATCCTTGACTTCTCTCTCCCCATTCCTCATATCCAAAGTCCTCTGGAATCTCCATTCCAGATCCCCACTGCCGCCACCTGGGTTCAGGTCAGCTGTGTCTCACTGATGAACCACAGAAAAGTGGGCTTCCCGAGGAGCGTCCCCATGACCCAGCTTTGTCCCCTTCTAGAGCTCTGCCCCTACTCTCATCAGAATGGTCTTTTGACACAGGAAGCTGTTCATTACATTTTCCCATGTGAAACAATTTTCTGGCTTCTCAGTTGCCTTTGAAATAAAGTCCAAACCCCTTAGAAGTCTTAAAGGACTGTGATCATCTGGCCAGCCCTTCTCCTGTCTCACCTGTTAATTCTTTCTGTACTTCTGTACTGAACTCCCTTCAGGTCCACTGGGACACCCAACATCTCTTACCTTCAGGTCCTTGTAAATGCTGTTTTCTCCCACTCTTTCTTCCCTTCTCCTCTCCCCTTCCTCCTTACCCTCCATGGCTGATTTTTACTCATCATTTTGGTCTTTTCTTCAACATCACTTCCTCAGGAAAACCTTCCCTGATCCTCCAAGACTCTGGTAGTTGCCCCCAGCAACTCAAAACACCCTGTACTATGTTGGGAATAGCACTTACACGTTTAATTATCTATATCCCCCTTGAATTGCAGTCCCTGTAAGAGCAGGGACCATGTCAGACACATAGTAAGTGTTCAGTAAATATTGGTTTAATGAATAAATGAATATCAGGAAAGGCTTTACATTTTATTCAGTGTTCACTTAGATTCCAGTGTACTGTACTCTCTTGAGTACTGTCCCACCGCACTGTCCCACATTCTGTCTCTTTGAAGTTTCCTCAGCTTTTTGATTTGCTAAACCTTCACATACCTCAAGGCTTAATTTTTTATTTTAATAGATTTAAAAGTACAAATTGAATTCTACCACATGTATATATTATGTGGTGGTGGAGTCTGGGCTTTTCTTGGTGCACCTACCACCCAAGTAGTGTGCATTGTACCCCATAAATTTTCATCCGTCACCCCCCCCACCTTTCCCCTTGTGAGTCCCCAATGTCCATTATACCAACTGTGTGTGCCCTTGTGCAGCCATAGAGAACATGTGGCATTTATTTTTCTGTTCCTAGGTTACTTGACTTAGGATAATGGCCTCCAGTTCCATCCAAGTTGCTGCAAGAAATATTATTCTTTTCGTGGCTGAATAGTACTCCATGATATACATATGCTGCATTTTATTAATGTACTCATAAAGTGATGGGCACTTAGGTTGATTCCATATCTTTGCAGTTGTGAATTGTGCTGTGATAAACATACAATAGGTGTCTTTTTGATATAATGACTTCTTTTCCTCAGTG